TCTGGGGAGAAAAGCAGGACAGAAAAGAGAATGACAGAGGGGGTTTGACCTCCTGAAAAGAGAAGCATGGGTTGCTGTTGTCCTAGTTTTGGCTTCTCAACTAGCATAACCAGCTAGATACATGGTCAACGAGCTTACCTTGAAGGACCTTGCTGGTTGATCACCTTTGGTCCATCAGACTTTGTACGCACTAAACCACCATAGAACATGTTGATGACTTGCCTTTTTTAGATTCAAAAGCTGGACTGGATAAGGTGAAGAAAAATTGACAACTTGACATTTCCATTGCCTTCTTGGGAGCACATCTCCACAGCTCTGTTGAATTTTTTGCAAATGCACATGCTGCACTCAATATGCCACGAGAAATCATCTTTCTGCTCTTTCCCTGTCTGCCCACTTTCAGTGTCCAGTTAGTCTCATAGGAGATTGACTTCCCAAAGGACACCTGGGTAATGATATGATGGCAGCTGTGGTTACATTTGTGGACATTTTCAGTGACACGGGACTTGTTGCGTTACTGCTGCCATGCTTGTGTCAGTCAAACACTTCTGCAGTGCTTCCCTTCCATGAAAGCGCTTCACGTCTCTGATTTAGAGGCTTAGCACTCAGCACTGACAGCCTCCTCTGGCTGGCTGAGAAATGCTTCTCAGCTCCAGGGGTTGAGAGAAGGTGCCAAAGTCCAATTCACTTATGGGACACTCCAGAACAAAGACCTCCTGCTTACGGAAAAGGCCCATGAATTAATAATCACCTAATTGACTTTTTTCACTGCTTCTCCTTTGGCTTTTGTGATGTCAGATGAAAACTGGGGCGTTGTCGCTGTCTCTGTGGGTTTTGCTGCAAGTGCGGTCTACTGCTGAATGGTAGAATTGAGGTCAGATGTACAGATACTACATTAGGATGTTTTTTAAAAAAGGCACGGGGGCAAGAACTGCACACAGGCGGGCTGATGTAGTTCCCACTCCTGCCTGTTAAAAACCGTGTGGCTTTAAAAACAAGAAAATACCTCCAGAAAATGTTAGTAGTTTTTGTGTAATCCTGTGTTTCTGGGAAGGAATGTCAATTTTAGACATGTACTGAATATCAGTTATGTTATAAATACTCATTAGGTTGATGTTTTGCAATTTTGAGACTATTTGTCTATAGTGGCTATTTAGAGGCTATTTTTGACAATTTTGAAATTTGATTCAGCCAAAATTTGTCCATTTTGAGATTAGTAGTGTTAGATGATATTTGGGCATTTTGAAATTATTCAGTTCATACAATAATTAGCCATTTTGTGATTATTGTATTGGTTATTAGGTTATTGGCTATTATTTATACTTAATTATTTTATGATCTGGTGATATGATATCATTTGTATCTGTTCATATTGAGCTTTTAACTCTTGACTAGTTGATAAAAAATAATCTCATAATAGCTATATATATATATATATATATATATGTGTGTGTGTGTGTGTGTGTGTGTGTGTGTGTGTGTGTATTTTGATTAGGTTAATTAATTTTGTCTTCATCTCCTTTCATGGTTTCTTAAATTGTGTTAAATATATAAAACCCATACCCTTTGAAAACCCAGTAGTACACAGTGAACATACCAGAGCTTGACACACATAGCCAGGTTCATGAGCAAAGACCAGTGAAAGGGAGGGGAGAAAAAGAGAGACCCCCGCCATCAGGTTATGGTCATGGACTCTAATAATGGATCTGACCTGCTCAGATGTTGAGGCATGTTCCTGCGGCCGCCCAACCGTGCCGAAGACACACACATTGCAAATGCCAACAGTCCCCTTTCTTTGCCTGTTTATTGGTCTCCATTTTGTTCCAGCATGCTCTGTGATGATGTTTTTTCCCCGCTTTCTCCCTCCGTCTCTTGACAACAGAAAACAGGATATGGTAGCTGGGCTTTAGTCACGGGCGTTTGGTGGCAGAAGTGGTTTTTTGGGGCTTTTTAAAAGCAAACAATTGATCAGATTTATGGAGTCCTAACAGGGCGTGACGAGGTGCGTCTGTGCCCAGAGGCAGCGGGCCACCCTCCCCTCCACACGTGCTGCAGGCCTCCGGCAGGCAGCTGCTCCCCTGACCTCAGGTTACTCACTTGCAATTGTCTGTTAGACAGAATTTACAATGAAAAAATATTAAATAATAGTGAAATAGTGTACTTAAGCCCTTTTCAATCATACTTAGAGTCACAAGCAATTGTTTTGTTGATTTATTTACATGTATTTCGCTTAAAAGCATTTAGCATAACGCCAGTAGCTAAAGCATTCTTTGTTTTAAAGTAGCTTTAGCCACTTTGCCTACTTTGCTCTCTATCCCTGAACTCCCTAACAAAAATGTACCATGGTAACCACTAAAATACCACAGCTGCTGCAGTTTTAGTTAAACTTACAGTATAGCTTGTCTTTTAAATAGCATTAGCAGCTTGTTTTTGATGACAGTGGTGGCTAATACCATGTTTCCACAGTGTTATTGTAGTAAAAATAACTACAGCTGTTTTTGGTGTAAAATTTTGGTTACCAGGGATGTTGATCCAGGAACCTTCAAGGCACCTGAAAAGGGGTTTCCTGAAAGAAATTGGATAGACCGATGATATAGATGGGCTAGGAAGAGTCAAGGGGCTGACACAGAGACGGCCACAGAGGAGCAGTGCAGAAAGGAGGAAGTAGCCGGGACAGTGCCAGGACCAAAAGTAGAGGTTAATGGCAACAAATAGGAGGTTCTTTTGTTTAACATTTCCTTTGTTTATTGGTAGATGTGTCTAATGGGATTGGCCATGACTGGACCTAATAGGGCAGCACTGGCTGATTGGGGGAGTCTCTGGGAGCTGCAGCAGGCAGCGTTCCCCAAAGTAGGGCCCCCCACTGAAGCCAGCGCTCAGCTATCCTGCCCTGATTGGACCTGACACTTTAATGTCTGCCCAAGGAACATGGTCAGCTCGGCTTAAACTGACCCCCACAATCCCCTGCTCTCAATTTGTCCTTTCAGGACTGGACAAATCATGCCAAATTTAACTCTTTATAGCCTCGTTATGGGCCTGGGAGAGAGAGGGGCGTCTTAAGTTTCACTGCGAATTCTTTCCCTTAGCAGCATGAACAACGTGTTCTCTCGACCCCTCTCCGGCTTAGAGTGGATTTACTTTTTATACGAGCTGCAATAGATTCAATATTAGCAGCCAACTTACATAACTGGCTAGTTTGTGTAGAGTCTTTTCTCAAACAAGCAACAAGAATCACATGCAAAACTATAAGATTTGCTGAAAACTGAAATAACTAGAGAATGTAATTTCGTTTTCCAATGAGAAGTGCAAATAAGCAAGGAAAAAGAATCGAAATAGGAACCAGAACAGAACTCTTTCTTCTTGATACTTTTTGAAGCCGCCTGTGGTATATTTGACTCCCTTCGCTGAAGCCACACTTCAAATGGCTTCATCTGAGAGAGCATGCATCCTAAAGCTGCTCACCGTGGCAAACTAATGTTTTGATTAGATGTCTGTGCCAGTGGCTGATGTCCTAAACATCCAACATAGGGAAAGACAAGCCGTCAAAGCATTGCGCACTGCCTCTTCTAAGTGCCATGGGAGGAGCGGTTAAGAGACTACATTGGTTTGGAGGGGAAGCAGCCTGCCTTAGCAATCCGCCGGCCTGGCTGTTACCTGTTCAATCCCTATATATCACAGTTTAGAAAGGCATGCTACTCACTTCCTTACAAAAAATGACTGCAATTTCTTAATTGTACCGTGAGTGTGGTAACATCAGTACTAAAAACTGCTGTAATGCTGCATCCATATTTTCCATTATGTCAACATAGTAAGTGAAGATATGACATCATATGGCATGGTGATATGACACCAGTCAGATTTGAACCACATGAACTCTAATGCTCAGCATTTGTTTACCTCGCTTTTACTGAAATAGAGAAACCTGCAGAAATATATTTAATTCACATTACTACACATGCACTATTGCACTGCATACTCCAGTTCCTGTATTCCCACACTGTTGTAGCTATCCAGAACATAAAATTGTGTATGAACACAAATATCTTGGAAAAAAAAAAGTCAGACTTTCACATGTTCCTTGAGTATCATTAAACCAAAGTTAAAGAAATATGCTTTGTTTCAACATTCAGTGGACTTTTACTGTAGGTTAAGCTAGCATTATCAAGTTAATTTGTTACCACATCTTCATTTTAGTCTGCTTTTACTAGTAAGCTCAGAATAGCAGGCCTCATAAAAGCCATTTTAACTGTGGTACATTTTTTCCATTGTACAGTACAGCATCATTATAAGAAACAAAACTGCAGTTTTACTGCGTTTCATTTTTATAAAGGCTGGCTTATTGATTGATTGCATGCCCTGACTGCCAAATCAGCACTGTGTTTTGACAAGTATGCTTCTTTTTGTATGTCTATGACAGCATCCAACCAATCGGAGAGAGATCAGGCGGATTCCCCGGTCCCCTCCAAGCGGCCTTCTTCGAGGTCCGAGACAGCAGAAAGCCCCCTCTCGTCGAAACGACCCAGGACCGCTGAGAAGAGCAGTGAAGAGCAGGTATGGAGGAAAATCTACAGCCTCTGCGAAACAGTTAGAATTCTCTCTGTCTGTTTTTGTGAAGTAGATTCAGATAGACCTAATCTAATCCCCAGGCATGTAGGTCTCATTAACTGTACCCATTAATTAACAAAATATCTAAGGATGTTGTTTTCAGCCCTTTTTAATATAGAGTAGTAGAATGTAGCTGGCCTTTTTAAATTATGCATGCATTTTTTTTTTTCTAAAAATATATTTCTCCATCTTTTCTGCTGCTCTTGCAGTGCTAATTGTGCAAAAGGTGAAAAATCAATATGATATTTGACAGATGAGAGCTCTTTGAAGTGTCTACCTCTCAGAGTAGCCCACTGCTCACTGCATGGGAGATAGACGAGCCTTGCTTTGCCCTTGATAGTACCACTCTTCTCTAGAAAATAATATTATTTTTCTTCCATCTTGTCATTATATAGATGTACCAGTGCCCCTACTGCAAGTTCAGCAACACAGATCTGAACCGGCTCAGAATGCACGTGATGACGCAGCACTCAGTGCAGCCCATGTTCCGCTGCCCGCTGTGCCAGGACATGCTCAACAACAAGGTCCACCTGCAGTTCCATCTCACTCACCTCCACAGCGTGGCACCAGACTGCGTCGAGAAGCTAATTGCCACAGTAAGTTACCGCAGAATAGTATTTAGGGGGTGATCACAGCAGACTTTGCCTTCCATTTCATATGCATGCATTTATTTCCTCTAATCAATGTTATTTTACTTCCACAGTCAAAAGAACCTTTCTAAATATTTCCCATTCAGTCTCTCTAGTGGATGGATTTTCATTAAGCCCAATTAATTTCTCTCTGGGAACTTTTGTTTTCATGCAAGGCCTGACTGCCCTTTTGTGTGGTGTGAAGGCCATATGCTTTTTGCACAAAGCAGCGTTGCCTTACTGCAATGTTTAGTAGTAATCATGTCTTCAACCTCACAAATGACTCACAGTTTCTTACTCACTCTGCCTTTGTGGACCGAAGGTTGTTTCTTTCATTCTAATTGATGAAATTTTAAGAAAATTGTAATTTTAATTTAAAATCGCCAAAGGAAGCTGATCATTGTGATATGGCCCTTGGGAATCCTGTATATTCAAAATGAGATGTGTAAGGCAAAAGCTTGAACATGGCTGGGAGTAACACTGGTTATGTATTACTATGGTCAATATCATTTCCATGTTTTATTACAAGTTTACATTCCCAAAAGTGTTTTTGCTCATTTTTTACCTCAGGGGCTTCATTGAGATCTCAGTTAAAAATCTCACTTTTGATCACAGACATCATCTTGGCAGATCAGAGCACATTTTGTGACACTGTTGAGATCTCTGAAACTCTAGAAGACATATAAGATTACTATGGCCTTCTCAGGCAAAAAATCTGCAAACCAGTAGACTTACGCAAGCCTTGATTTGCTCTCTACTTAATTTCAGTGTTGATTAGAAGAAACAGTTGGTTTGTAGAAAATTGATGAATATTGTAATTCTTAACTTTAGAAGAAATGTTCTCGGTTTAGTGGAAAAATTATAAAAGCCTCTTGTGATTACCAAGGTCATTTGTATTCCAGGCACTCACTAGAAGCAGTAATACTTACATCATCCCTTTACGTTATTTCCACCTCTCTAGTCCCGGAGCGCTCAGGCCTCCAGCAGCCTAGTCTGCCCGGTCCCTCAGAGAATACTCACCTTATTCCATTTCAGCTTCTACTGAGACTACCCTGCTTTCATGGGGGTTTTTTTCAAAGAATTTTAGCAGTGAAATAATTATGTGTAAGTTTGCCTGTGGTGTTTTAATTGCTTGCTTGGCCAATCACTCTGAATTCTGTGATCTCCTCTCCCCCAGCCCGAAAGCAAATGGTGAACACATTAGTAGAGGCCAGACGACAATATTTTTTCTTTTATAGAGGTAATAACGCACAGAGCGCTGTACAAGTGCAGTGCATGATAGAAACTGAGCTAATACAATGCACATTAAAACCAGCACCTTTTTTACAAGTAACGAGAGATGGAGAGGTACTCTATCCTGTTCCTCGTGGCAGGCAGACAAGCTTAATGAATTCTGAATCAGGTGACTTTTATTTCTTGCAAACATTGCATAAACACGCACTCTCTTCCACTCACTCTACCTCCTCCTTCTTCCTCTTCTCTCGCTCTCCCTTCCTCTATGTCTAATGTTCTGTCTGTCTAAGATAGGGGTAATGAAAATAATTGTGCTTCATTAATTCTGAGTCTGGCTAGATGATAGCCATTTGGAACTATGTTTGCCAATTAGACGGTCCAAATTAAAAGTGACCTTGGGATACTCTCAGCACTCGGCGCTCTTTGCCTAATGATGCAGTTGTCTAGAAACAGTCTACTTTGTAATGTTAATCACAGGCATGTTTTGTTTCTGGAATTCTCCACACTGGTCACAATCACTTAACACTTTTAGTTAAGAGGAGAGTGGGTGAGGGAGGAAACTAAAAAGCAGAAAAAAGGGCTACATTTTGCCCAGTGTGATTTTGATTGCAGTAACCAGATATTTATGAAAGGCTCTGGTTCACTGTCTATTTCTCAGTGTTTGACGCTCAAAGACGTGGAGTTGCGTGGCACTCTGTATTTGATGACACTGAGTTAAAGCTGCTGGCTATGATTAGGTTTTAAATACACTATAAAACAGCTCCATCTCTCAGATCTCAGAAGACCAGTCAAACAGCCATGTAATGATATTATGTTTGCTTAGGTCTCTCACAGGTAATTAGTTGTTTTTGGTTAACATTACCTTAATAACTTGACCGCTTTCACAAGGTATGTTCAGTTTGAAGGAAGTTATTTAATCTACGTTTTATTTTTTGTTAGAAAAAAAATATTTAGTAGCACTTTATAATAACTTTCATTAATAAATCATTAACAAACATTATGATTTATTCTGTTTATTTATGATTCAAGTAATATCCTGTTTAATGATATACTGAAGAGTAGTGTACTAATGTAAGTGTTGAGGCAATAAAAAAAATGTTTGTACCAAAATTACAATCTGTTATGTCTAAGCATTCAGCTAAACTTAACCAGCCAGCCATTACACAAACCTTATTACATTAGCTAAAAGTCCAATGCCCATAAAGATACTAAATGATTAGTAATCGTTTATAAACATTTACAAATGATGAATAGTTTCTACTTTAGATTGGCTACTGCAAAAACATGAACAAATTATTAATACATGATTAGTAAAGATGTGTGAATAGGGTAAATTCAGGTCTTTCAGGACACTTTTTGCCATCGAGATGACTGTTCATAAAGGTATTAATGATTAGTAAACATTTGTAAATGATGCATAGTTTCCACTTTAGATTGGATACTGCAAAAACATGAACAAATAATTAATAGATTGTTTGTTAAGATGTGTAAATAGAGGTCTACACAACAAACAAAGACCAACAAATGAAGATCATAATTATGAACTGAAAGTTTACTGATATTTGTAAACATTTCAGTTTACATTAAATAATCATATATTAATCATTAGGTAATGATTAGTAAGTTCATATATATATTAACTAATGATCTGTTAAGCATTATATAATGTTTGTTAATGATTTATAAATGAAAGTTATTATAAAGTGTTACCAAATATTTTCAATGCAGTAATAAAATTCTAACTCCTACAGACGTGAAGCTGATGTATGATGTGAGAAAAATAGAATTGGTTGTGTCATGGGGTGGTAAAAAGAGGCACAGAGTTTGCAAGGGCACAAACAAAGGATGAAAAAAATTATATATGCAGAGAGAGAGAGAGAGAGAGAGAGAGAGAGAGAGAGAGAGAAGGGGGATATATTTGTGAGATTGGGGTATTGAAATGCATGATGAGTGAGGCTGATTGTTCAGTTTGGGGAGTTAAATGAAGGAAGGTGAAGCACACAGTGGCTCATCTCCCAACCTTTTCCAATCTCAATCACTGATTAATGTTAAATAGGATCCTGTTAATGAATCTGTTTTTTATTATTATTCTGAGAAAGAGAGAGATAGCGAGAGAGTGAGAGCCATGCATGGAGAATCATGTGCACTTAAAAGATAGAGGGGAGGTTGCTGTCATTCACACTTGATTTATTTCAACCTTTGTGCCAAGCAAACCTTTGTGCACCTTTATCACAACAATATTCATTGCTACTTTAATTTTTCTTATTAAATTGACTGAAAAACATGCTACTTGCCGTCTACCTACATTTAAATGTATCTACATTTTTTATTAATGACTTTTTTTCAAGTAATAATTTGCATAATTGTTTAGATTAAAATATTCTGATTTGCTGGAAAGCATATTAATGAGTGCTGTATGACAATTGTTGCATTACCCAGAATTCCAGGCTGAATGACGGCATTTCACCATTGCACCATGCTTTTCTATTGGAATGAAAAGCACATTTTATGAGGTGGAAGACTTATTTAATTAGGCTCTCTAATAAGCTTTTCAACTGGCCAAGGTAGAACACTCAGCCCATCACACTAATTGGCTGCAGCAGCAGAACTATCGCAGAGCATGACAAAACACCATCAATGATCAAAGTGCAAATTCCATGGATGGCAAATTAAGTCGTCTGTGTGAAAGAGGGGGACAGTAAATGTGTTTGTGTCCAGTTCAAATAATATGATTATCTTGTCAAATTAGTTGTATGTTTATAGCACATCTCTCACCTGTACCACCTCATATGAATATTTTTCTTTTACAAATTTTTGTTTACAATGAAGGATTACTGCATATGATGCAGAAATTTTGTCTGTTTTGAATGTGTAACTTTGAATGTGTAAGTTTGCCTTGTCCTTTACGTTAATTTGAGATGTTCTATGTTTCTTATCAAGAGTCTATTGTTTAAGGCCTATAATTAACCTAACAACTACTATGTTTTTCTTTTTCCAGGTGGCAGCATCAGAAGTACTGCCAGCTAGCATGTTCATACCAGTCCCTGGACCAGAGATAGATACTCAAACCGCACCTCAGTCCATGGTCAACTCAAACTCTGATGACATTAAGAAACAAACAGGTTAGAATGTTGCGCAATTGAGGACAAACATTTTAAAAACACACAAATATGTTTATGTTGTCAGAATTTAATGTGTGTTATTTTTCTGATTGCAGAGGTGGCAGATGTTGAGCCTGAAAAAGGAGTTTGTCTGGCCTCAGACACTGTTGAAGCTCACAAGTCTCCTCTTGAGGAACAGCAGCCTGCAAGAGATGATTCCACCGGTTTCCTTTGCTGGAAAAAGGGCTGTAATAAAGTGTTTAAATCCTCCAATGCCCTTCAGATGCACTTCAATGAGGTCCACAATAAAAGGCCCCAACTGCCTGTCTCTGATCGTCATGTCTACAAATATCGCTGCAACCAGTGTAGTTTGGCATTCAAGACAATAGAGAAACTTCAGCTGCATTCCCAATACCATGTAATCAGAGCAGCCACAATGTGTTGTTTATGCCAGCGTAGCTTCAGGACCCTACAGGCACTTAAGAAGCATCTGGAGACCAATCACCTGGAGTTGAGTGAAGCTGACATCCAGCAGCTCTATGGAGGTTTATTGATGAATGGAGACCTAATGATTATGGGTGATCCCTCACTTGGAGAGGACCAGGGAGCTCTTCTTGATGATGAGAAAGAGGGAGACGAAAGTGACCCAGAGGAAAAGCAAAGCCCAACTGGCAGTGACTCTGGATCTTTGCAAGAAGATTCTGGATCTGAACCCAAACGAGCCCTGCCATTTAGGAAAGGCCCCAACTTTACTATGGAGAAGTTTCTAGATCCATCCCGTCCTTTCAAGTGTACAGTCTGCAAAGAGTCATTTACCCAAAAGAATATTCTTCTTGTACACTACAACTCTGTGTCTCACTTACACAAAGTCAAAAGAGCCCTACAGGAATCCACCACCGGTCAGCCAGAGCCTACAAGCAGCCCTGATAATAAACCCTTCAAGTGCAGCACTTGCAATGTAGCATACAGCCAGAGCTCTACACTGGAGATTCACATGCGCTCTGTTCTTCATCAAACCAAGGCCAGGGCAGCAAAGCTTGAAGCAGCTGGCGGCACATCTAGTGCTGTTAGCAGCAGTGGCCCAAGCGGAAGCACTTCCAATAGCACTTCAACCCCAAGCCCTATTCCAGCCACTAACTCAACAACCAGCTCCAGCAACAGAAGCAGCTCTCCAGCTGGAGCTCAGACATCACAGAGCATCATGGGAGGTAATCATCTGTCAAGTCATTCTCACAATGTTGAGAATTTGGGTAACTCAGCCTGTCATCCCTCTCCTTCTGAGAATCATGAAGTGAAAAAGAAGAAATTTGCAGATATGCTATCTTCGAGGGGTCATCAGCAACAACTCCAGCAACAGCAGCAGCAGTTGGCCCAGGCTCAAGCACAGGCACAGGCTCAGCTCCAACAAGAGTTCCAGCAGGCTGCTCTCTTTCAGTCCCAGCTTTTTAACCCTCTTTTCCAGCACTTCCCTATGGCAACAGAAGCTCTTCTCTCTCTTCAGCAACAGCAGCTGCTCTTTCCGTTTTACATTCCTGGGGCAGAATTTCAACTGAATCCAGAAATGAACCCGAGTACCTCTTCATTGAACTTGAGCGGATCTACTGCTTCACTATTGGAAGAACAGAAAAACTCTGCCCAGCAGGCCCAGCAGAGCTGCTTACAACAACAGCTTATGCACCACCACCTTCAGCAACAGCACCAAGCTCATTCCCACTCCCAAGTATCAAGCCAAATGGCTTTACTTCAGCAGAGTGCCCTTTCTCACCCTGTAGACAAAAAGCCAAAGCGATCTCCTCACACTGAGAAAGAAAGGGAGCTGCCAAAGGATAAAGAAATTAGTGATAAAGCTGAGGATCATGTTCCAAAAGATATGTCAGACAAGTCCAAAGAAAAAAAAGATGCTCCTCAAGCTGTTGTAAATGTGAACCATGACTCTGGATTTCACCCTCCAAGGATTGCCTCAGATGCCCGAGGGAATGCCACCAAAGCCCTACTGGAGAATTTTGGCTTTGAGTTAGTAATTCAGTACAATGAGAACAAGCAAAAAGCACAAAGAAAGCCAACAGGATCTCTGTCAGTATGCAGTGGGCAAGCTGGTATCACCAGAATAGTTAATCCCATTGAAGGATTAGAGAAACTGGAGTGTGAGACTTGTGGTAAGCTCTTTTCCAACATATTGATTCTCAAGAGTCATCAGGAGCATATCCACCAGGCTTTCTTTCCATTCAGATTCCTAGAGAGATTTGCCAAAGAGTACAGAGAACAATATGACAAGCTGTACCCATTGAGACCTCAGACACCCGAAGCTGCTCCACCTCCTCCACCACCTCCACCTCCACCCCCACCTCCGCCTCCCCAAAGGGTACCAACACCAAATATACCCGTTTCTGCTCCTACCCTGAACCCACCAACTGCTCCAACCCCTCAGCCTTCAGTTCCACTGGCCCAAATTCCAATGCCAATGGATCTCCCTCTCTTCTCTCCCCTTATGATGCAGCCCATGTCACTCCAGTCATTACCTTCTCAGATTCCTGCCCAACTGCCTGCTGTGGAGCCCAGTCTGGCCACTGATCTGGCCCAGCTCTACCAACAGCAACTTACCCCTGCCATGTTGCAGCAACAGAATAAGAGACCCCGCACCCGTATCACAGATGACCAGCTAAGGGTGCTCCGCCAATATTTCGATATCAACAACTCTCCCAACGAGGACCAAATTAAGGAAATGGCAGATAAATCAGGACTCCCCCAGAAAGTCATCAAGCACTGGTTCCGCAATACACTCTTTAAAGAGCGACAACGCAACAAAGACTCACCTTATAATTTTAACAACCCTCCAATTACAACCCTAGAAGATACCAAAATTGATTCAAAGCCACCCTCCCCTGAGCCTCAAAAGCCAGAATCATTTGGAAATAAGAGGTCCTCAAGGACAAGGTTCACAGACTACCAGCTGAGGGTACTGCAGGATTTCTTTGATGCTAATGCTTATCCTAAAGATGATGAATTTGAGCAGTTATCCAATCTTCTGAGCCTTCCAACTCGAGTCATTGTTGTGTGGTTCCAAAATGCCAGACAGAAAGCCCGTAAAAATTATGAGAACCAGGGAGATGGAGGAAAAGAAGGTGACCGACGCGAGTTATCCAATGACCGATACATTCGTACTACCAACTTAAACTATCAGTGCAAGAAGTGCAGCCTGGTTTTCCAGCGCATATTTGACCTTATTAAACACCAAAAGAAGCTCTGTTACAAAGATGAGGAGGAAGACTGGCAGTATGACAGTCTAAATGAGGACTCTTTGGATCTCTCTCATGAATACTATACTCTATCTGGATCATCAGGTCAAACACCAATGCCCTCATCTTCAAGCCTCTGCCCTCTTCCCCCTTCATCCACTGCATTCTCTCACATCACATCATCTGAAAAGGAGGAGCCTACACAGAGTAACACATCAAACTCTTTTGATGAAAAATCAAAGCACTCTTCAGAAGCATCATTCGCCCAAAGAGAGCAGACATCTTTGAAACAGGAAACCATTCATCCATCTGAGACTCCACAGCAGAGACCACAAAGAGAGGAAAAGACACATACAGTCCCAAAGAATCCAAAGCTTTCTTCACCTTCCCTGTCCCAACAGCATAGTGGTCCCTCCATTTCACATACCAGTCAGACCACCCAGAGTTCCCACATGGCCCTTAATCCTCATTTAGCCTCTGCCTCACAGCAGCAGTTGGCCCAGCAAATGATCCCGTACCAGTGTGAGCAGTGCAAACTTGCCTTCCCTTCATTTGAACACTGGCAGGAACACCAGCAACTGCATTTCCTGAGTGTCCAAAATCAGTTCATTCATCCTCAGTTTTTGGATCGCCCAATGGACATGTCCTTCATGTTGTTTGATCCTAGCAATCCTCTGCTTGCTAGCCAGCTCCTTGCAGGAGCAATACCTCAAATGTCCAGCAACTCTGCCACCTCCCCATCAACACCTACATCCACTATGAACTCCCTGAAGAGGAAATTGGAGGAGAAGGCAGGAACTAGTCCAGGAGAAAGTGACAGCATGAATAGTGGAGAGGAGCCACAACGAGACAAGCGCCTCCGAACCACTATTACACCAGAGCAACTAGAGATTCTGTACCAGAAATATTTGCTTGACTCCAATCCTACTCGTAAAATGCTTGACCACATTGCTCATGAAGTGGGGCTTAAAAAACGAGTGGTACAGGTATGGTTCCAAAACACAAGAGCCAGAGAAAGAAAAGGTCAGTTTCGGGCTGTTGGGCCAGCTCAAGCCCACCGGCGCTGCCCATTTTGTCGAGCCCTATTCAAAGCTAAAACTGCCCTCGAGGCCCATATTCGTTCACGCCACTGGCACGAGGCTAAACGTGCTGGTTACAACCTAGCGCTTTCCGGTATGCTACCTGAACAGGAGGCCATGCAGTTGAAGATGGATCCTCTGGATATCTCCAGCTATGCTCATCTTGCCCAGTCTAACAATGATGTGCAAAGTTCATCACTGTCACCTGTGAGCAAAATCATGGACTTGTCTCCCAGGGCTCTTCTGAGCCCAACATCTATCAAGGTTGAGGGAGCAGAGGAGTTTGAAAGCCCAACCATTTCCTCAGTAAACACAAACTTTGATCAAAATAAACTTGATAATGATGATTGTTCTTCTGTGAATACAGCCATCACTGACACTACCACAGGTGATGAGGCAAATGTTGACAATGATAGTGCTGGTGCAAAGCACAGCCATAACAGTGGAGATTTTCTCTCCAAGTCTGGGGGCGCAGTCCCCTCCATTGAGAACGATGAACAGATGTCCTCAGGACTAGTGAGCCCTGCAACAAGCTTCTACACAAAAGACTTTGAAAATGAAAATATGATAGACTACAGTGAAACATCTAGCCTGGCTGACCCTTGTTCACCAAGTCCAGGAGCCTCTGGAAGCAGAAGCATTGATAGTGGAGACAGGCCTGGTCAAAAGCGCTACCGAACACAGATGACTAATCTTCAGCTTAAGGTGCTCAAGTCCTGCTTCAGTGATTATAGGACTCCAACCATGCTGGAGTGTGAGGTACTTGGAAATGACATTGGACTTCCAAAGAGAGTTGTTCAGGTCTGGTTTCAAAATGCTCGTGCTAAGGAAAAGAAAGCTAAGCTCAGCATGGCTAAGCACTTTGGTATCAACCAGACTTCTTACGAGGGACCTAAGACAGAATGCTCTCTGTGTGGTGTTAAATACAGTGCTCGTCTCTCAGTGCGAGACCACATCTTTTCCCAGCAACACATCTACAAAGTAAAGGATACCATTGGAAGCCAGCTTGATAAAGAGAAAGAGTACTTTGATCCAGCAACGGTTCGTCAGCTGATGGCACAGCAGGAGATGGATCGTATCAAGAAAGCAAATGAGGTCCTGGGACTAGCACAACAACAAGCCATGCAGCAACAAGGGATGTTTGACACACCTGCCTTGCAAGCCTTGAACCTTCAATCAGGTTACCCAAATCTACAGGGAATCCCCCCTGTTCTCCTGCCAGGTGTTGGTGGTCCCTCCATACCAGGCTTTAACTCATCCAACTCAGGTATGTCATCACATTACGTCTCTAGTATAAGTAAGACTTTTGAAATATGAAACGTATAACTATGCTAATTCTCAGATGTATATAGCAACAATCTTAATCATTCTGTGTTTCTCTGTGTCAATTTCCACAGCTTTAACCTCTCCAAAACCTCCAAACCTCCTGAACATGCCTGGTGCCAGTGTACCCTCACCTAGTCTCCCCACATCTGGTTTACCCAACAAGACCCCTTCCTCCTCTTCATTGGCCTCACCCAGCCAAGCTCAGGCCAGCACATCTGTCGCCCATTCTAGCCCTACCCCCACATCTACATCAAACTCTTTGATGACCCAGCCAGGCCCTCGTCAAGAAGCTCCCAAAGATCGTTATCCTGAGAGGGCCAGGGTGAAAGAGAAACCCAAAGAGAAGGCTGAGAAGCCCCCCACACCATCCTCAGCTGGGGGTACTCCTGCTCCCTCCACTTCTGCTGCCAGTGCCAAGAAAGAAAAACCAGACACTGCTGTTCCGGCCACCTCAATGCCAACACCTGGCATGGAGTATGTGGTCGATACTGCCCAACTTCAAGCTCTACAAGCAGCTTTAGCTTCAGATCCAACAGCTCTGCTAACAAGTCAGTTCTTGCCCTACTTTATGCCTGGTTTCTCTCCGTATTATGCCCCTCAGATACCAGGTGTTCTTCAAGGTGGATATCTTCAGCCCATGTATGGCATGGAAAGTCTTTTCCCCTACAACCCAGCATTATCACAGGCCCTGATGGGGCTGTCACCAGGATCTCTGCTTCAACATTACCAGCAATATCAACAGAGCCTGCAGGAGGCACTTCAGCAGCAGCAGCAGCAGCTTCAGCAGATCCAGCAACCCAAAGCAAGCCAAACTTCAAAAAACTCGGTGTACTGTAAGGACTCTGCCAAAGATCCAGTAAAAACAGAGGAGCAAAAGAGCACTCCCTCAGTTGAAGCCTCTTCCTCTTCCACTCACAACAACCTTGTCACCGAGCAGCATGAAGTGGATGGCAAACGGGCAGACCTCCATCTTGACCAATATATCATCCCCAAAGTTCAGTATCGGCTGGCGTGCCGCAAGTGTCAAGCTGTCTTCAGCAAGGAGGAAGCGGCTATCAGCCACCTCAAGTCAATTTGTTTTTTTGGTCAGTCTGTGGCAAACCTGCAAGAGATGTTGCTTCGGGTCCCCAACAGTGGGAATGCAGCAGAGGGCGGCCTCTATGACTGCCTCGCCTGTAACACCACACTAGAAGGGGACAAAGCGCTCAGTCAACACCTGGATTCAGCCTTGCACAAACACAGAACAATCAAGAGATCCAGAAATGCCAAAGAGCACGCTACTAATTTATTACCTCACTCTTCAGCCTTCTTCCCCAATCCTAACACCGCATCTACCTCGCAGTCTGCCACTCACTCAAACAACACCCCATCCCCTCCGCCAACAACGTCAGCCACCACACCATCCTCATCAGCATCTGCATCTTCATGCACCTCCTCCTCCTTCACAGTCACTCCACTCAACACAACAGCTACAGGCAAATCATGGTCCCAGACCCCTTTATCCAGAGCTTTAGCTGGGAAGCCCAATCCCTCTTCGTCTGCATTATCTTCTTTTCCTCCAGTTTCCTCTCCTTCAACGGTTACCTCAAGTTCATTGAGCACCTCAGGGGTCCAGACCTCGATACCAACAGACG